TCAATGACGAAAAAAACAATTCAAAATGGGCAAAGGACTTGAATAGACTTCTTTCTCCAAAGAAGATATATAAATGGCTAATGAGGGCATGAAAAGATGCTCAACATCATTAATAATTAGGGAAATGCAAATCGAAACCACAATGAGACACCACTTTACACCAATTAGGACTGCTATTATCAAAAAATAGAATATAAGTGTTGGCATAGATCTGGATAAATTAGAACCCTTACACATTGCTGATGAGAATGTAAAATAATACAGTCACTGTGGAAAACAGTATGGCAGTTCCTCAAAAAAGTCAACATAGAATTATCATTTGAACCAGCAATCCCATTTCTGGGTATATAGGCAAAAGAACTGAAAAGTAGGGACTCGAGCAGACATTGGCATGGCAATGTTGACTGTAGCATTATTCACAATAGCCAAAAGATGGAAACAACCCAAACATCCATCAATGAATGAACTGATATACAAAATGTGGTACATACATACAATAGGATTATTCAGCCTTTAAAAGGAATGAAATTTTGATATATACCATAACATGGTGAACCTTGAGGATATTATGTTAAATAAAACAATCCAGACACAAAAGAACAAATACTATATGATTCCACTTATATGAGGTACCCAGAGTACTCAAATACATAGAGACAGAAAGTAGAACAGTGGTTAACAGGGGATAGAGAAAGGGAAAATGGAGAGTCATTGTTTAATGGGTACAGAGTTTCAGTGTGGGATAATGAAAAAGTTCGAGATGGACAGTGTTAATAGTTCCACAACAATGTGAATGTATTTAATGCCACTAAACTGAACACTTAAAAATGGTTATAATGGTAAATCTTATATATATTTTATCACAATAAAAAAGAGTAAAACAAAATGCTACTCATTTTAAAATAGAGATTCGAGAATTATGGGATCAAATTTCCATCCTTAAGGAGATTCAACTTTTCCCAAATCAAAGACATGAATAGAATTCTAGAATTCCAAGAATTATTACAAAGCCCCTACTTTCCAGCCTATCACATACTGAACAGGAAACATGGATTGGCCTCTCTTCTTTTTGTGAGCCTTCTTGGCCCTTCACAGGAGACCTAGAAAATAATATCAAGAATCTGCAATATTTGGCAATAGGTAAAAATCTTAAGAATTGCTTTTTCTACAAAGACAATGTGACAGAAAATGTTTCCTTCCAAACAAAGAAACAAAAATGGCAACCAATAGTTATTGTCCAAGTGATGCTTTTGAAGGTGTTCCAGTCAAAGAACAAGGTGTTTGACTGTATTAAACAATGGGTTTTTAATGCCTTCCCTGCTAAAATTCATTTTTTATAGCTAGGAGTAACAAGCAATTGCCAGCAAAGCTGCAATAGGAAAATCAAATATTCTGCCTATTTACATATGGTTCCCCGAAGCCATTCCTGATTAAAAATTGTACCATTTCAATCTTCCTACTGAAGATATCTATTAA